ATGCCGGGAGCCGGTCCATCCTGCTGCTTGACACAGTCGCTGCCAGAGAAGAAACGTCTGCACAGCATATGTTTCAAGGGCCCTGGCGTATATGGCATACTGTTCTTAATTATGTTTGCTCCCATTCTTGGCGCTATGTGTTTTAACCAAGGTCACCTCTCCGAAAAAGGTTGTTTCCCCAGGTGGGGATTTTTCCCTGAGGTTAGGGAGGGGATACAACCCCTTAATTAAGTGCCAGGTGGGTAGTTAAACTACATAATCTTTACTCCCTGGAATGGAGATAAGAAACGCCCTAACCTTTGTAATAGAAATTGACAGGATTAAAATCGGCTGGTATAAATACAGATGTAACAAGACAATAAACATCAGATCCTGATCAGATCCTGATCAGATCCTAACCAGAACCTAGCCAGAGAACATGGCAAAAGATCCTGGACAGAACCTGGCTACAGAACTTCACTGGAGAACCTAGACAGAACATGGCAAAAGAACCTGGATAGAACCTGGCTAAAGAACCTGGCTGGAGAACCTAGCGAGAGAACATGGCACCAGAACTTCGCTGGAGATCCTGGAGGGAGAACCTCGCTATGCTGATGAACTGAACCCAGTTTCCATGTCATTCATTCTTCGCCGACTCCGTCCACACCTTTGGGGATCCCTGGACCCGCTGGGGTTGGACTCCAACACACGAAGCCTTCCATAATTTTTTCCTCACAAAATTAAAAATGGAACTTCTGCCGAAACTGGTTTGGCTCAGTGGATAGAGCGTCGGCCTGCGGACTAAAAGGTCCCAGGTTCGATTCCGGTCAAGGGCATGTACCTTGGTTGCGGGCATGTCCCCAGTAGGAGATGTGCAGGAGGCAGCTGATCGATGTTTCTCTCTCATCGCCCGATGTTTCTAACTCTCTATCTCTCTCCCTTCCTCTTTGTAAAAAATCAATAAAATATATTTTTAAAAAAATGGAACTTCTATTTGACCCAGTAATCCCACTTCTAGGAATATAGCCTAAGGAAACAGAAACACCAATCAGAAAGGATATATGCACCCCTATGTTCATAGCAGCACAATTTACAATAGCTAAGATTTAGAAACAGCCTAAGTGCCCATCAGCAGATGACTGGATTTAAAAACTGTGGTACATCTACACAATGGAATACTACGCTGCTGTAAAAAAGAAGGAATTCTTACCATTTGCAACAA